TATGAAAAAGCATCTGTGAAGTGCACAACGAAAAAAAGTGGTTCGGTTACAGGTTACATGTTACTACTACAAGTACTAGTGAAAAGTTACGCAGCGGGAGTCAATTGTCACCTCCTAGGACAACTCCATGTTAAATGCGACAGTAGAAAGCATGGCTGGTAGATTTACAAGGTACCGGTATTCGACTCCCGAAAACTAGTGAACTCGCTAGTTCTGTACTAGTATTTCCGCTGCAGGGTGCTAAATATGCACACACACACACACACATTAACACATTCACATATGTATTATTTTACGTGAACACACCCGAATATAAACTTCGAGAAGTAATGTCGGCATGCTGTTGACATTTTTCGTCTAATTGAAATTACAAAATTTATGCATTCTTCTCATAATTTTCATTTGCTCTTCTTTTTGAGGATTTTTCATATATTTTTTTCGCCTCAAATGCTTTTTCATTTCCAGACCAAAATTTTTTTCATAGCGGTGCAATACTGTAGCTATGTAATAGAAACATTTCGTTATTTCTTAAAACAAAAATACAAAAACAATACAAACAGCATTTTATTTTCGTATCTAACGGGTGATTTTTTAAGAGCTTGATACCTTTTTTTTTAAAAAAAACGCATAAAATTTGCAAAATCNCGAACCGAACACTGATTTTGGTAATAAAATTCAATGATTTGCAAGCGTTGCTCGTTAGTAAGTCTATTCATGATGAAATGTCAAAGCATACTGAGCATCTTTCTCTTTGACACCATGTCTGAAATCCCACGTGATCTGTCAAATACTAATGCATGAAAATCCTAACCTCAAAAAAATCACCCGTTATTTATGTGTCGCGCAAATTGTAAGCGTGTAAGCCTGAGAGAGAGTATTTATGTATGTATGTTTGTTCGCTTATTTATATAACTGATATCTATCTGTGTTGGCAAACTTTCGCCAAAGTCATTATGCCATTTTGCATAGTTCTATGTGTTGTTGCTTGTTGTTACTTGGCTGCACCGCCGTCAGACTGGCTTGAATGGCTGAGTTTTCCCGTTTGCCGCGCACATTGGCCATCATGATGCACAGGCGCGAAGTGCGGCAGAAGGTATGGAGGCGGCGAAAATCTAATGGTGAAGGAGTGTAGTGTTTAAAGTCATTTCCATTGCTGCAACTTCGACTACTTTTGCCGCCGCTGCTGTTGCGACTAATACTGCTGGCGATTTTTTTTTTTTTTGTTCTTCGTTGTGATTGTCTGCGCTAGCTGGTTGCATTTGCCGAGTTGCTATATAGATATGACTCTTTTTGTGTTGTTTTCTTTTTCACAACTACCATTTGCTGCCGTCAACGCCGTTGGCAGCATTCCTAATTACGATCGTTTTAAACGCAATTTAACTTTAAACTCTACTTAAGCAAAACATCGGAGCAAAGTTGTGAAAGACGATGAAGCGGCAGCAGCAGCTGCATAAGCTGCTAAGAAGCTGCAAAGAAATTGAGTTGCATTCAAGTTATAGCAGCTGTAATTCTGCAACTTTTTCAATATCGATTTAAGTGGCTCAAACTAAAATGTTAAAGTTGCTGTGCTTTTATCGATTTATTTATTTAAAATTGCGCTTTATTTAATGTTTCTTGGAAAATATTCCCCATTATTTTGGTGTTTTTCAAATTAGATATTTGCAGTTACACAAATCTTCATAATTCTTGAATTAGAGAGATATTTGTGGACATAAATTTTCAAATTTAGATTAATAGATATTTTACAATTTATTTTTGGATAATTATTTTATGTGCATCATGCAGTTGATTGGTATCGGTTTGGTACAGTGTTTTCGACAATCTAACAAAGATAAAATTGGCGCTTTAACCGCCTAAGCGATTTTATTCGAGTCCGGCAAGGCACGTCAGTCGTTCCTCTTCTGTGCCCATTGACGCCAATGGGTATTTCCCAAGCGAAGCCAAGTCCTTCTCCACCTAATAATTATAATAGATTGGAGCTTACACATTATTAGTGTTTGGCCGAGCTTCTATAGGGACCTATAGTTTTACGCCGAATCCGAACGGCGATTGCATTTTATGAGGAGCTGTTTTTCATCGCTTAAATTAAGGCTTGCACTCTCGACTAAAATATCTGAAAATTTCATTTCTACGACCTCAAGGTCACTTATAGTCGTTTATTGAATAACTAACTCTGATTTTGACACCTTTTTTCAAGAGTACAATTTTCAAGTATTTTTTATTGTTGCACATAAAAAAATAAGCAAATGAGTATAAAAGACCATTGGATAAAGGTGCAGGAATAGTAATCGGGAGTTTAAGCCTAGGTAGAAGGTTATATCACCTTTTGTTTCTTTGGTACAGCTACTCAAATATTGCAAAAAAAAATTTAACTCGTTTTTCTCAAAATCTTGAACTAATGGAAACTTTATACTTAAGGATTCGTAATCAGCGAAAAAAGTATATCAAAAACTGCTTTAACAATTGCCGCATCAAAATCAGTGTTGCCCTGCATAATAATTTAGAATTAGGAATACGGTTCGGTTATCTGTACAAAGATTTTGGCTTCTTGTAGCCGCACGCGTGAAATATGGACTTTTTTGTTAATATCGAAGTGAGTTTTGCGCAAAAATACTATGGATTGTGTAGCGTGGACTGATGGGTCTTATTTCGTCGAAGAGGGACCGAAGGTTGTCAACGCGGAAAATCCTGCGGTCAGCGTAGCCGGTGCTGGACTTATGGCGGTATTTTTTTTTGAAGCACGGCCGAAGTCCACCAATGCCGGAAGGAATTCTGGACAAAAATAATGTGGATGGCGTAACCCGAGTTTACATTTCTGTGTCAAAATAAATAACTTTACCGCCAAATGGGTCTCCAGGGGACTGTAGAGAGTCAGAGGGGGAGGGGTGACTTTTCTTAAAGCTGGGACTGTGCTCTTTCTATCGGGTTGGGCTAAAAAACAGCATACTCACAATTTTTATAAAAAATCGAATTAAAAAATTTAAAATTTCTATGAAATTTTTATGAAATTAAAAAAAAAAAAACTTTTCGTGAGAATTTTTCTGTTTGCTATATTTTTATGAAAAATAAGAAAAATTTGTTACGGAAAGTAGTATAAAAAAATAAAATCGTCAAAATATAAATATCAGTTTAGATATGCCCATTGTAGGCACTGACTGTATGTAATAACATTAGAAAATCTATCCTTACTCTGTAGAAAATGGATAATAAGCATCAATAAGAATTTATTAAAATTTTTGTTTTAAGTAGTAGATAAATTAAATTACAGTTAAAAGATCTCTGTTAAAAAAAACAAAATTCCTATGCCCATCTGAAATGTTATAAATCAACATTGACCACTAAGCAAAATTGAATACTTACGAAATACGTGGCTTATTATGGCTTAAAATGTTTATTATATTTTTCTACAGTTCCTACCCTAATCTTGAGTGCCGTTATCTGAGCGCAAATATTATATTTGAAATGAGAAATCTTTATTTCCTGATTATTTTTATTTTACTCCCTTTTTATTTACTTATTTTTTACGACCAAGATTAAAAAAAAAAATCTCTTCATTTACATGTAAAGTGCCTTGCTGTGATGTAAATACATATAAATGTATAAGTATGTACATATGTTTGTATGTATGGTGGCACAAGCTCGCCTAAAATTCATAAAATTTTCATGGTAATCCCAAGGCCATAATCCGAATTATAGGGATTTCAATAGCAAGCAAAATTAGCTGAACAAAGAAAAATCAAAACAAGTAAGAGGGCGAAGCCGAACATTAAATACCCGGCGCAAGTATTAAATATATGTTTTTTCACCTTTCCGAAACCTTCCGCTAGATGGTATGCCGGGGTGTATCAATTTTGAGTAAATTAGCGTCCTTCAATTTCGAAATATTGAAGTTTCAAGCATTTCTGAAATTTACCTTTATATGAGAAGCGGCCGTTATTTTAGTCCGATTTCAATAATTTTCAACGTTTTGCTTATATGTGGCAAGCACAATAACCACACCGAGTTTGGTACAAATTGGTAGAACGGTTACCGATATACTTATATGAGATCATAAGTGGGCGGTGCCACGCCCATTTTACAAAGTTTTAACATAATCGTAATTCTTGGTAAATAATTGTTGCAATCATCAATTTTGAATAAATTAACTTCAATATTTACTGATTTATCGAAGATTTTGTATTTCTCTAAATTACCGTTATATGGGATGTGGGCGTGGTTATTGTCCGATTTTAAAAAGTTTCGGCGATTTTTTATGCTGTACCAAGGCCAACAACTGTGCCAAGTTTGGAAGAAATTGGTGCAGCGGTTACCAAGATATACACATGTAACCATAAGTGGGCGTGGCTACGCCCATTTTCCAAAAATTTATAATATTCTTATTTTTCGTCTAAAAATTATTGTAAATATCAATTTTGAGTGAATAATCTTCAGTAGTTACTAAAATATCGCAGTTTTCGTATTTCTGGAAATTACCGTTATATGGGAAGTGGGCGTGGTTAAAGTCCGATTTCGCCCATTTTCAATACCAACCTACCTTGGATTAAGGGAAACCTACATACCAAATTTCGTTGAGATATCTCAATTTTTGCTCGAGTTATCGTGTACACGGACAGACGGACAGACGGACGGACAGACAGACATGGCTTAATCGATTTCTTTTTTCATCCTGATCATTTATGTATACATTTGTCTATATCTATCTCGATTCGTTTTGGCTGTTACAAACAACCGTTATGTGAACAAAATTAATATACCCTTGTGCACAAGTGCGCTCGGGTATAAAAAAGTAAGTAAGTATGTATGTGTATTTGTAAGTATATTTGTATGTTTGAAGGGGAAGCGGAGTTGAAAACAGCAATAAAATATAAACGCCAAAAATTCAAATGCTATTGTATTACATTCGTTTTCAATTAAAAATGACAGCAGCAAAAAAACAAAAAAAAAAAAACACAAAGCAACGCGAAGTACACAAAAAGCAAAAAGCAAAAGCAGCGACTTACCCGCGATTAGCACAATGAAGCAGAGCAGCAGCTCGATCTCCATGTTGTGGCTGAGATGAAGCGCAGGCAGCAGGGTCGGTTGCAGGAGTGAATGCGATATTAAATTTTCAACTGCTTGAAAATTTTAATTTCTCGCGAAGTTTTAGATACATACAGTAGGATTTGTTATTATTTTAATTTCATTTTTTGGTAGCTACTGGCAAACTTTGTTGGTTGGTTGGTTTCCCGCCGACGATTGGATTTTGCTGAGTTTGTTTTTGTTGCGATTTTTGTCTTTAATATATAACTTTTTTATTTGGGGATTTCTTCTGGGTTCTTATACTATTTAGTACTTGTTGCTTTTTTCCGAACACTTTTAATTACGATTTTTTTTTGTTTGCTACATCTTTAATTCTTCCAATTTTTTTTGTAGGTCTTTAGTATTTTTAAATCTATTTCTTTTTTCAGCGCGCTTTTTATTACATTATTACTTGATGCTCTTCTCAACAATGGTGTAAGTGGCTTTAATGTATGAACATTTTTTATTTACATACATACATAAGTCAAATGCAATATAAGTATATAATTTTTCTGTTGTTGTCATCAGAAAGAGAGTTATTCTAAACTTTTACGTGTATAAATACAACTTTTTTTGGCGTTTGTTCACTGAATTTTTTTTTTCTGAACTCTACCTCAACAAACCGACACGTTCAGGTCTCCTTTTGAAGCATTTGTACTTATTGCTAGAAGGACGGCGATAAACTCAATAAGTGGGATGGATAGAAACAAGTTGTGTGCTAAAGTTGTAAGGTGGTTAGTTTAATGGAGAAAATAAAATGTCTGTGGGAGATTGTAGTTATGTAGGTCTTACGGCTTGATGTCGGGTAATTCGATTTTATGCATGGAGTTGATCTATCTCACATTTTGAAAGCATAGAAATCTTCTTATAGTTGCTAGTTTACGATGCCAATAGCCCAGGATCACAGGGTGAGCAGACCCTAAGCAAACTTCGGTTTTTCTAAAAAGTGAAAGCGACACTCTGGGTGAAATGTCAAATTAAAGTGTTTGGTCTGTAGATATGCAAACTGGTTTTAGTTTTTCGAAAAGAGTTGCCACTTGTTGGAAAAGTTAATTCTAATTATTTAATAATCAATACCATCAAATCTGCACCAAGCGTTCGAGTTGCCAAAATGACGCGTCAAACCACTGTAGATGTGCAACAAGGTTTTACCTTTTTGAAAAGAGTTGCCATCTTTTAAAAAATTATATTCAGATAATTAAAAAAAAATCAATTATTACAAAAAAATCGAAATGGTTTTGAAGAGCTTTGTCTCTTAGCTGAACTATAGGAGAGTTGCCACCTGTTTAAAAAATCATATTAGGTTAGATAAAGACGTATCACCACATGGATGCCAAACGAAAAAGGGTTTCAGAAAGCAGTAGCTTGAAAATATTTTGCAGAGGGTTGCCACCTGCTTTAAATTTCGAATATAGGTTACTTATGCACAAATTATACGAAATATCTAAATATGGTTGTCAAACGAAGGAGTATTAAGAAATCTTTAGTTTGAACGCTAATAATATTTTTGAGGTGTTGGAAGAGGGTTGCCACCTGTCTAAAAAGTTAAATAAAATTTATTTTATAAGCTAAATGAATTACTAAAATATGGGTATCTATCGAAGGGTTTTAAAAAAGTTTTATTTCTGAACAGTATTTAGCGGGGATGCCATATGTTTGAAAATTAAAATTCCCCTTAATTCATCAGTTAATTAAAATATTTCCGGTGAAGGAGGGTTAACAACAATTGAGCTTGAAAGTATTTTTGAAGAGGGCTGCCATCTCTCTGAAAGGTCTAACTCACTTAACTTATTGAAAGAGAATATTAAATATAATCAAATGAAAGAATGTTAAGAAATCTTTAATTTGGACATTTCAAATATTTGATGAATTAATAAAATATGGGTATACATCGAAATGGGTTTGAAAGGGATTTATTTCAGAAATTTTTTAGGAAGGTTGGCATTGGTTCGAACAACCAAATTGGAACTAGTTCATCAGTTTATTGAAATACAGGTGTATCACCATATCGGACGAAAGAGATTTAATAAGATTTTAGTTTGAGAATACTTTTGTAAAGGAATTTCAACAAGTAAGAGGTCAAATTAGAGACCTTAGCCTGTAGATGTGTGATATCGTTTTATTTTTTTAATTAAGACCTTTTTTCATCGGTATAGGGTAATTTGAATTTCGATGAAAATAAAAACATGCACTATGCCCAATTGCTCTTCACTCGAAACGGCTGCACGGTTTTGATAAAATATGGCACTCGGATCTCTTATAGCTCTAACGAACATTTGAATTATTTTCTAAGTTTTTGAAATTCAATTTTTGGGCGTTTTAACGCCATGCGGATTCACTAGTTATATATATATAAATATATTTAGTTACAATTTTCCCCGCACTGTAGTCATCCTTTTCACAGTTAAAACGGATGGACCTAGAATATAGTACTTCAGATTGACGAAGCCCTACAGAAGCTTGAAATATCAACAACAAGAATTTAGTTTAAACAAAAAATTGTTTCGTCCCCTCATCCTTTTCAATGAAGAGAGCTTTAAGAGTGAATTTAATAAATTAGTGCAGCAAATGGATAAGCCGTTCATGTCACATATTTCTAACATATCTTTCATGAATCTCCGGAATGTCTTAATTTATTTTTATCGATCAAAAATTGATCGATCGTAATAATTTTTCGGCTTATTTTTCATGGAGCTTTCAAACCTAAATCGATGGAAGCCTTGACGAAACCCCAACAAAATCAAGTAAAGGCCTTGGCCTTCGGAAATTGAGGGCAAAATGAGTTTTGCATCTCAATCAATCGTAAGCAAAATTTTCACACAGTTTGTACAGGTTCCTTCAACCGCCGAGGATGCGAGTGTTAACTGGATGCAGACAAAGGCTGAACTTGTCTCTGCCAAACCATCTGTTGTATCACTACCAGGTACTCCCGAGTGATCTGGCAGCCAGAGCGGGCCAATTTTGTTATGTTTTCCAACACAATTTAGCCAAAACTTGCGTTGACGCACTAGTTTGGAAGCAGTCGAGTTGGCTGTCCAATGCTTCAGTGTATCACTATTTATGTAGGCTGTGATACCTTTGAGTATTGTAATAGGGCCTATTTGAGGCACGTAATAAAAGCGTCATTCCTGTCGCAACACAGTTGCAACTGCCCAACTAGTAAAACGTTGCTGGAAATTCACACCGAACGTGATACTCTAATGATTCGCGCAACACTGCGGTTGTGATTGCAACACCAACAAGCCCATACCTTCGGCTAGGGGAATACTGAGGTATATTCCCTCGGAGACAAGTGAATATATATTGTTCCCATCACTATTCATATAGACCGCAGATTCTGACCTTGCATCAGGTTTGAAACCAACAGTAATGGTTCTGTAATATTTAGGCCAGTGCTGAGTATTGGGGTTAAGCCAGTATTCAGTTTAGAAGCTAATAATCAGCACTCAGCATCGAAAAGCTACATATACATTGTAATTATAGTATTCCTGCAGAAAACGCAACGATGTGGCACTGATAAGAAACTTGTGACACTTGTGCGTATTATATCAGCACATTCTTGTATGTCTAAAATTTTCTGTAGTGCCATCCGGTCAAAGAAGATAAGCAGTACATCTGTAGGTGCCTCAGCTATTGTAGGGAAAGCTCCAAGCTTCCAAACGTTTTGTGTTTATACGAAGATTTCTTGCGATTGTGATTTAGGGTATGCTCCATCACGATAGAAGCATAGCTGATAACCAATTTTACACAGAATTTATATATTTGACAGACCACATGTCTTACAAAAGACCCCTTTACATTGCCAACGCGCTATTAAGGCTATGGAGGTATTTTTTTCAAAAGGAGACCTCCGTCAAAGTTTAATTTCTATTTAGTATTAATCCACTTTAACAGCGACTAATAACCTTTCATTCTAGAAAAGAGCACAAAGCTGGTTTTGTTTGAGCTACCCTATAAGCGAGCCTCATTACATCAACTGCCAATCCTATTGAGTGTTCTTTGCGATATTTTGAAAACAACTAAGGGCGAAGTGCCTGTAATGAGATAGGCCACATTGTTTACATATAGATCTGAGCTGTTAAAGTGAAAAAATAGTGAATCATTATTTACCAAGCCACACAGCAACGCAGAAAACAGGCAGTCTTAGAATAACGCTTAGAATTTCGCACGGGCCACGTTGACTAGCTACTGTATAAATCTGAATGTCCTTTTGCGTAAGTATTAAACGAATCCAATTTATTTCCATAGTCTTATTTTTACGTTGAGCTATTAAAAATACATTTCCCAATACCCCAAAGTGTACATATATTATGTAAAAATTTTGAGAGAAATCTCAACATTTGTATAACACAAAGCTCTCAATAGAGGGGGTAATTTGCATACTCTTTTCCCATCGTATGTGAAGCGGTCTGATCTAATCTAAAATTTATATGCACTTGAATACATTAGCAATGAAATTTAACCCGTCGAAGGTTTTTTGTCCCGCAACAACTTGCAACACTTTCACATTCGCCTTACGACTTTTATAAGTATGTACATCCATTTGCATCCACTTTTCATTTTTATGTCTCTAGCTTACAGATTCAAAAAATGCTTTTAAACTAATTATCCTTTCTTTCCAACCCTGTGAGTAACCTAATTCGGTTCTTTCCAACCCAACCCACCTATACCAGCACAAATGGATTAACTGCTAAGCGCAACTGTTCTACTGTTGTGGCAGGCATTTGGCTATGTGTTAGTGCAAGCAAATAGTTTAGTTGGCGCTTAGTGTTTTACTAGCTTTGTTGTTGATGTTGTACGTTTTTTTCTTACTGTTGCTGTTGGCATTCTATGTATGTATGTATGTCGGTATGTGTAGCTGACTTTAACTTATTAATTCTTACTTTTTCCAAGCCACGCGCGCACAGCCAGATATGTGGGGGTATGTAAATGAGGCGCGTTTATTTTTAGGAACGTAGCGCTTGTCTATAACTACGGTGACCATCCGTCCTGTATAATACGGGACAGTCCTCTTTTTTGACCCATTGTCCTGTTAATTAATTTATATTATACGGGACGCCAAATGTTCTGTATTTCTTTTAATGTCCTCTATTTGTCCCGTATTCGGTGCTCTGACGCCTTAACTTCTCATTAAAATTGAACGAGTTTTAAGTGATGTTGGTATATAATCGTAATTTTCTTTATAAACAGTTATAATCTTCTAATCTGAATGCCTATGATTCGAATCGAGGAATACATACAGTGGCCAAAATAGAAATTAGGACTCGACATTTTAGTAAGT